TTGCACGGCGGCGAAAAGGGGGAGAAAGCAGGCTACCTGCACCCCCAGTCGGTGTGCACCCGCTCTGGGCTGAGGCCGCCGTCTCCAGGAAGTTCTCCGGACTTGGAGCCGGGCCGATGACCCCGAGTCGTCCCTTGCTTTATGTTTACGCGGAAACTTCCGCGCGGTGGAGGCCTGGAGGGACCAAATCACCCTCTGGCTCCCTTGCGACCTACTAGTGACGCTAGGGTGGGTCGGGTGTTGCTGCACAGCCTTTGAAGGCCTGCGGACTGTGCTCGAATGTCTCTTTTGTGACTATGGGACCTGAGCAAATTAAAGTCTCCAAAGCCTGTGAAGTGGGATATTCAGTTCGATCCCCACGGGGCTACCGCGGAATTTAAAAGTGCTTTTGGAGAAAGCGTTTGCAGGAGATGCGTTTTAAAGTTCAACTCATTCTTCTCTTTGGAAGAGTAGAATACATTTGAGATCACAGAGCCGAAAAGGAGGCTCTCTGTGCTGAAGAGGAAGATGCTACAGTGTAAATCCAGAGATGGGGAGAGAAGGGAATTAAACTGATCCACAGCTTCCCTGTGGCCTCTTTGTCCTTAGGTAATTCCCTGGACCACTCTCCCCTGCTCTAAGCTTCCTTGACTCCGCCCTCTCCAGGTTTGCACCTTCTCCACCTCCTGTGCAAGCACCCCTTCCTCTATTTAAATATCAGTGCTCCCTAAAGTCTCGTCTCAGGCTCTTTCTGTTCAGGCTTAATTGCCATCCATATATTCCTAAATTCATATCTCCTGCTTTAGCACCGTCTCCCAGCCTCAGACCCTTGTATCCAGCTAGCTAGTGAGCATCTCCATTTGGCTTCTCACAAGACATCCGTCCAAACCAGCTTGTCTCTGTTAGCCCTTCAACCACAGCCTTCGATGTCGTGGTCACAGGGATTACCATCACCATCCTGCATTTGCACAACTGAGAAACTTCTGTTCTGCAGAGGATGGGACAAGTTACATGATCACCACCACCCTTTGTCACCTGTGTCATTATGGGTCTCATACCTCTTT